ATGTATTTTTATTTAGAATGTATGTCTATAGATACATTCTATCTATGTATCTATATATCTATATATCTATAGATCTATAGATCTATAGATCTATAGATAATAGACACTTAGTATGTCTTTTGTTTAAAAATATATAGGTTTTTGTTCCTTTTGGAAGTGCAAATTTGAATAACTGCAACCCATAACAAGCAGGACAGCTTCTCAGTTCTGCCATGTATCCACCTGGGGGAGATTGTAGAATCATAAAATTGAAAGAGGTGATGTAAGCCCTCAAAACAAAACTCCCTACTTTAAGTATGAACAGCAAGCAACCTCTGACTAAAGTTAGAAGGCCAGCTCAAGGCTCAAGATGCTTACTTGACCTGTTCAAGGTGTCTCTCTGAAGAAATAAGTCTATTTCTGATCCTGATCAATTTGCACGCATGCATTCATAATCCTTTCTGGTTTTTTTTTTTTCTGAATTTCAAAGAACCCTGTTAAAATTTGTATATTCATGGAAACTAGGGCAATTTTATTCAACTACAGAAATGTTTACTCTTGTATGATTTGATATTCTATATTTCACTTTAAATTGGAATCTTCATTTTTTGTATTAATAAAAGTAGGCAGTGATCACTTGATGGAACAAATAAATTAAGCCAAGATTTCTCTCTAGATATGAAATCAAATATATTTTTCAGATTGAGAAATATACTGTAGCATGTAGCCTTCTAGGTTTTGTGGCATATTTTTCTAACCAGTGCTGTGTTATTAATATCTGCAGTATGGATGACTTGCCATTTTTAAAACTGGCCTGCTCATCCACCAAGATCTCTTCAAGGAATGTCCCATTCATCAACTCCTTACTTAAAATTTTAGCATAAACCTTACTTACAACTTTTAGTAGATTTAAAGGACAGTAGTTTACAGACATCTCTGATTTATAAGAGGACTATCATTGCAGTATCCCTATACTTTGGCCCAATGGGCGATGACATCATTTGCAAACAATAGAGAGTTAAGCACACGTGCCACATAATTCCTAATTCATCAGCTCAATGGACCCCTCAAGATTAAGGCATGCTAGAGTCCATGAGATTAAATAATCTGATTATTTCTGGGGATTACAATAATTATTTAATTTATTTATTAAATATAGCCACCCATCTCATATATGAGTCAATTTGTGATGTTAGAGGTGACAATTTTCAACAATCCTGGATTGTTTAATCCCAATTGTTAACAGTCCTGGATTGTTTAATCCCAATAAACTGCCACCAACCTTTGACTGGAAAGAAACAACATCCCTTCTGGATGAAACGGAAATTCCCGATTCTAGCAAGTGGTTAAACATGTGAGTAGAAGCAAATTCCCTGATTAGCAAATATTCATAAATTTGCCTCTCCAAATAAATTTCTTTAAAATTTAAAAGGGGAAAAAACTAATGCAGGGAACATTCTAGTTATTTCCCTTTTCTTTACCAGTTAGCCCTACTGGAACCTTCAAGAAATTATGGCACAGAAATCAATTATACCTCAGCAAAATGTAAACATGAAGGAAAATGTCCACAACAAATGATATAAGAAAAGAGAGGGCACAGTGGTTATAGCTATCACGGTACACAAACTACCAGAAAGGTCCACTAATGCAAATTCTCTTTCACAGGGGAAGTCCAGCTTTTCCTAACCTTTAATTAGTG